GGTGAGAGAAGACATGTAGTGCATCGCAAAAGTGTGGGTTTTGAAATTCGAAGCTTTTGGTGGGTCATTTTTTTATAGGAAAAAGGGGAAGGGGGCCCAAGGACATTTCCCCTTTGGGGGACACCAACTGAAATTTGGGTTGTGCGGAAGAGCTTCCCCCTTTTTGCATCACATATTGGTTCTTTTGCGGGGAAAGGATGACTTGAGGTAGTTGGGGGTCCCCTCTTTACCAAATGTGAAAATTTTACGTGGAGCAAGTCTGGTCAACTGTATCATAAGTTTTAGTAAGTCAATGAAGATCCCCAGGGGGACTTCTTTTTTCTCTTTTGCAGTGTATATATGTTCTAGCATGTGTATACGTGGACCCCCATACGACCTTAACCCGTGCAAAAGGGCTGGTTTTATGCAAAATGTTCGGTATGCGAAAAATTTTCCCCATAAGAAAAAATGGAAATCAAATTAATCCGTGCAAGACACCCAAAGTATGAAAAAATAATTTTTTTACCCATGAAAGTTAATTTTAAATACAACAAACTGAAAAAGGCATGCCAATTAATGACATTTCTTTTTTTGAAAATTTTGGTGATGATTGATGGGATGGGAGAGGGGGAGAGTGAGTGTTTTGTGTTCAGAAGGGGAATCCCTTCCATTAAGACTTGGGGTGCGAGTCCTTTTCTGGGTTCTCCCCTTTTTTTTTAATGCCCTAGGACCAGTTCAGAGTCACTGGATTCTTTGCCAAAAATATTGTCATAGTGGCCGACCTCTCGTTCCTTTTTTGACTTCCCTAAAGTGTTTCACAACTTGTCAGTGTACAGGTTGCCAACCGGCTTGCAAAGCTGTGTGAGGGGGATTTTCATCCCTGAAGGTTTGACTTCAAGCCCTTTGCACAGATTTCCTTAATCTTTGTAGTAGGCAACTTCTTCAATTTCTCTCTCCCCCCCTCTGAAAATTTCCTCGGTTGGCCTCTTGTGTTGAAGTTGACTATCGCTCATCAGGGTTAGTTCTTCATTTCCCCCTCCACCAACTTTCCCATTCCCCACAAACCCTCCAACCCCAAGGATTTTCCCCCCAATGCCACAATGGTTTTCCTCAACGGCATGGGTTTTCCCGGGGTTTACCCCAAAACCCTTAAATCCCTTTGGTTACACATTCTGGCCACAGTTTTTCCAAGCGGTTCAAGGTCCTCTTAGTCACTCCCTCCAAGCCTTACCTAAAAGGTTTTACACAATTGAGATTTAAAGGCCTCCCCAAAAACTCTCTAGAGTCAGTTGAGTTTTGAGGTCCTACAAAAGCACCTTTAAAAAGGGGTTTTTGTGTACAGTTTTTTAAATTTTTGCAAAACCCTGTGGTCCATGGGTGCAGGAGAGGGGGGTTTAGGAGGAAAAAAATTGACCTTAAAATGTTTTTTCAGTCCCCTAAAGTCGTTGCCACGTCGTAGGTGTCAGGGGCATTGTCTAAACCAGGGGGGCACTTAAGTTCTAATTTCTTTTCATTAGGAAATTTTCACATTGGGGGAAAAATGCAGGGTGTAACCATCTAGAAAAAGTCCCTAGTGCCCCCATCCCTTATTGTTTGCCTCCCAGCAACCAAATTTCCTTGGGGGAATTCTTTTGCCGAACGGTCTGGGAGTTTCGGGGAGTGATACCAAAAAAGGGCTCACTTTGCAATCACCAGTAGCTTTGGAAACACATCAACAAAGAAGCCTGTCTTTATAGGTTATGTCCGGGGTGCCTTTTCCTCCTGGTAATGTGGTCCTGCTTGGATTTTTTCCAAAAAAACAGGCCTGTTCACACAATTAAACACTTGTTCGGGTTTCAGCCCGTCCTTTCTATGTACTCCTTGAATTCCGCCATATTTTTCAGCTGTTTTGGGGTGGTCCCGAACTGGCAGCCTCACCATGCCTTATCACATTTTGCCACTACGTTCTTAAAATCTTAAACCACCTTTGTGGGCCCTTTAAAATTCACTCCATCACCTAGTTTCAGGCATTTTTTTTAAATTTAATTTTCCCCATGCAACTTCCTAGCCTTTTCGCTATATCGCTTGAGAGACTTATCTCCTCTACTGTTTTTCATTTATCCACACCAATAAATCCTCAACACTTCCCTCACTTGCGATCTCTGTAGAAAAACACAGTTGAAACCCCTTTGGCAAAAAAACATTCCTTGATTGCCTTTTTTTGCCCCCAATAGTAGGTGGTTGATTTGGGTTTTTGTCAACCGCCCGGGCGGCGACACCATCCATTTCTATTATCAATGATTTTTTCTTCTCTTATTGGGGAATTCTCACCCTTATTGCTGTTTGGGTTTGGCCTAGAAGCTTTCTTGGGGCCCTGGTACTTTTTTCAGATAAAGCACCGAAAAAACTGTAAAAATAGGAAATTTCCGATTGTATGCTTTTTGGTGTTACCGGAGGCTGGCTGGTAAACAGTGCCCCCAGCGGAACTGTGAGGGGCTGAGGGCGCACATTTGGGCGCTTCTCGGATGGGGAGCGTTGAGCGGGTTTTTGGGCGGTATGCGAGGCAAAAATTTTTGCGATCAAAGCGAGCGGGTTTCGGATTGTAAGTATGCGATGCTACGGGTTGCGGGGGTCCAAGTTTGCATCATTGTATTTTTTTAGGCCTGAAACCCAAAATTTGGCGGGGGTTTTTAGTTGTTTTGGGGGGATGATGTAGGAGTAGATTCGTTTTTCGAATTAATTTTTGAAGATTTTTGGGGAGGGGGGTGTAAAATTGGATATTGGCTATAGTTATTCAACTTGTTTGGTTTCCCCCCCTTTTTGGATGGGGTGACCCCTTTCTATTTTGAGGGCTGTTGTGGGAATCCATTTGGCATTGGGGGGTCCCTTTGGGGTTTTAGGTCAGTGAGGAGGATGTGGAAGAGTTGGTGGAGGGGGACAATGAGAATAACCACTGGGCTGCAAGATCATCTTCAACAGCAAGAGGCCAGATCTGAGGAAACTGCTTCAGAGGAGGGGAGAGAGAAATTGAGGAAGTTGCCTACTTCAAAGAATAAGGAAATGTGTGCAAAGTGGGTTGAACTGCAGACCTTTACGGATGAAAATCACCCTGACATAGCTACTGCAAGCTGTGTTGGCAACCTGTACAATGACAGTGTTATGGCCCATTTTCGGAAAGTCTTAAAGGAACGGGAGGTACACAGCTCTATTGACAGATTTGTTGTGCGACAGAGGTCCAGTGACTCTCAAGCTGGTCCTAGTGGCATTAAAAGAGGAAGGGAAGTAACCCTGGAAAAGGACTTGCTACCTCAAGTCCTAATGGAAGGAGATTCCCCTTCTAAACAATAACTTCCACACACTCCCCTCCTCCCATCCTATCAGTCATCACCAGATCTTCAATAAAGGTTAGTGTCATGCATTCTATTCTTAGTAGAGTAGTAATTGTGCATTTCTTCGTGGGTATTAATGAGAGAGTTCGGTGGTACAACCCCGCGGCCGTTCTTGTTACCAGGCCTCTAGGTCGTGTCCAGGATGCGTCAGCAACAGTCGATCTAATCACCCAGTATCCCATTTTACTATGGGGAACATTAGACTAACGGTGAAGATAACACGTCATGTTTCTACATGGCTCTCGGGAATCAGAACAGCCCTATCCGGTGAAGGCGAGAGGTTACCACCAGGTGGTAATTTTTTTTTTTTCATACTTTGGATGTCAGAACGGATTAATTGATTCAAGTATTCTTATGGAAAATTAATTCGGTACATTAATTCGGCCTTACGAATATGCATCTCAGAATGATTTGTAAGCGGGTCCACTGATATACACTCACTGTTTAACGCAATACTGCACTAAAGTTTTTACTATATATTGTTCACTTGTTATTTATATGCATCCAAATTTGTACATGTCCTCGCATAATGTGGTGCAGTGCTCTCTAAGTCGTATTTCGTCCTTTGGGCGCACTCATGCTCTGATCGCACCTGGGCACTCCCTTCCCAGCTTCCAGCCGTGTGCCATTGTTTACCAGTGAGCGACGGTCCCCCACTTGTTCATTCGAAATATTTCATAATAATCCATTCATTTTATTGCTTGCAAGTGAATGTTGCCGCTGTTGCCATACACGGCTCATTTTCTGCCAACTTCACGCCTCTATATCTCGGTAAGTACTGATGGCAATTTTTTTTTTTTTGACTAAAACAATCAGAAAAATAATCTTAACATTTTCATAAGAAAAATAATTTTCTTTTTTTTTTTAATATTTTTCAACACCAGGAGATACTTCAGGGTTTGGGGTTTCAACAGTCAAGGGGTTAATATCTAAGGTTGCATCACTAATTCTAATATTAGTTACTAACTGTATAAACCAACCTAAACCTTCCTTGAAAGGTAAATATCAGTCAGTATGTCCAATCTCACTACCTCTGCCAACTAGTGTTTGTGTTAAGGGTTCTTAATTAAAGTATCCTCTGACAATGTATCAAATGCTTTCCATAGGTCTCTGAAGAGCTCCAGGGGATATTCATTTTTTTGAGTGCTGTGTATAGTAGTTTGATCATTTGTATAATTGCATCATTCATACTTTTTTGGCCTAAATTCAAACTGGCAGGGGTTAACTGTGTTGTGGGATAATAGGTAGGAGTAAGTTATTATTACACTCTTCACTTAACGACGGAGTTCCATTCCTAAGACCACGTTGGTAAACAAATTTGTCACAAAGTGAAGAGTATATTATGTTGGTAGTGGGTTTGTGTCAGCTATCTTTGATATTGTTTAAATGTCACCTTTGCACCATTTATAACTTTTCTGGTATATCTTTAAATGTTATTACAGTAGTATACTGTATATTGTAATAAATGGAATAGAGGAAATCAGCTCTAATATACATTATTTAGGCATGCATACTGGTCAGAGAGCCGATGCCTTGGACGTAAGTCCGAGGCATCGGTAAACGAGTACATCGCTAAGCGAGGAGAGACTGTATTAAATTGTTATTTTTATCTTTTGAACCAGGCATTTGTAACCGTGATTCCTTGTTGAGCAGGTGGAGTAACGGTGAACGAGCCATGTGGTACTTCTCTGTTTTGTCAGAACAGCAATGAAGGTACCCTGGGACAGCAACTGTGGCGAGATAACAATAAACAAGCAGTCATTATCTCGCCAAAGGTTAGTGCAATTACTTATTTGTAGCTACAGAGTACTGCTAGTCTTGTGCAAGGAGGGGCAGGGGTCATCACAGGATGGGTTGGAGTCATGGCTTAAGCCAGAATTTCAATCTGAGGGCACTTAAAATAATTTGCTAAAAAAAAAAAAAAAAAAAAAAGAATTCATTTTTAAAACTTAGGATTTTTAGTATGAAAGTGAAATTTCTTAAACTATCATGTTTCTGTGTCAGTGGCCAATATGATACAATGAAATTAGCCATTAATTGAGAAAAAGTATTTTCATCAGGGGAGGAGCTTTAGCCCCATTATCTCCCTCCTCTTTGTGGCTGTTCCACTGGTTGAAGGAAGGGAGGATGTACAAAAGGTTTTGAGTGCTAGGGGGCTTGGACATCAAACAGGATTGTGTAATGACTGAACGACAGCGGTGATTGACTTGATGTGCTGTTGGAGTGCAAGTGAAGTAAATTTACGAAAAGATTTTGGGAACTGGTTAGATGGATTTGAGTCCTGGAGTTGGGAAGAAAAGTGCCTTACATTCTGACTTCTGTAGTTCAGAGTGTCAACTGACCTGTGATTTTGACAGGCATCTGATAAGACAGTTATTGAATATATATTTTTTTTAATTTATCCTTCCTCAGTGACAGATAGACTGTTAATAAATTTCTTTTCTGAGTTTGTAGTGGTTGTAGCACATGTAAATTCTTGGGAAACCATTCTATGCTTCTACCTTAGTAAAAGAAATGCTTTTTAAGACATCACCCATATCCTACCTAGTCTGGTAACTTAAAATAGAGGAATGCATTCACTGTCATTCATTCATACAGGAGTGTGCTAACATCACAATTCAGATGACACTGAACTGTAACATCCCCACCCCTCCTTCAGTGAATGCACTGTATTCCTTACATCCAGGACTCAAGTCCAGCTAATTGGCTTCCCCAAGTCCTTTATAAAAGTTACCTTGCTCACACTCCAACAGCATGTCAGGTTATTAAAACTACTTGCTCATTCACTGTAATCTAACCACACAAGCTTATTGGATATTCAAGCCACTAGCACTTTAACCCTTTCAAGGTTGGTTGCCGTACTAGTACGGCTTACGCGCCAGGGTTGGTGCCATACTAGTACGCATAAATTCTAGCGTCCTCAAATTAAGCAGGAAAAGGCTGGTGGTCCTGGATGTGAGAGAATGAGTCTCCATGGTCAGTGTGCACGGTATAAAAAAAAATCAGGGACCCGTGGTGCATTGTGGGAAAGCCATTTTATTACACCTTGTTCACCATGTCTGTCGGTAAGAAACTCCTCACCCTCGGCTAACTGGGGCTTTTTTGTTCCCAAGTGACAGTTCAAACACAGATGCAAGTGTCAGTGAAGCTGAATTTCATGGTTTTGAAGAGTTTGTGATCGAAAGCAATGCCCATGAAACCAACCTGAAGGAAGGAAGAAGAAAGGAGGAAGGAAGGTAGAAAAAAGGGAGGAAAAGAAGAGGAGAGGATGAAGGAGAGAGGAAGAGATGAGAGGAAGGTAGAAAGGAAGGAGGGAAGGAAGGAAGGAGGGAGGGAAGAAAGGAAGGAGACCATCAACCTAGGATAACTCAAAATATTCCATGTGGGTTGGTGGGGTGGGGAGGAAGGGATGGGTGTTGACAGGCAGTGAGAGTGGTGAGTGATGGTGTTACTTGTCATTGTGACACTAATTATACTGGTGACTCAGCATATTTACAAGTCCACCCCCACACAACAACTATGAGCTTTACAGAAGCTGTAGCAGTTCTGGGAAGTGTCCAGTGACTATATGTGTATATATGTGATAGAAAATAGTATAAACAACATGTTTATTGTTGGTTTGTGTAAACATGTTTTGTAAACATATAATAACTGTGGCAGTTATTGTGTAGCATACAACAGGGAATATACATTCAATATACCTTTATTGGTCTCACAGGCCAGAAAAGTTACTTGAAGGAGAAGGACGGAGGGGGAGGAAGGAAGGAGGGAGGGAAGGAAGGAGGTAGGAAGGAGGGAGGGTAGGAAGAGGGGGGGAGGAAGGGGGAGGGAAGGAAGGGG